CCAACTTTTAGCAGGAAGAAGGGGTGGCACTTGGATTGACAGTCCCACTGGATTGTCTTTCATGCAAAATCAGGATGCCATTACCAAAAGGAGAAATGGATACTGGGAAGGTAAAAATAACTGGTATCCACTTTAAAGAGCATACAATGTAAATGGGAAGACAAGACACATCAAAAGAGACGATGCTGGCCAGGAGCACTGGCTCACGCCTGTAATCCCAGCACTTTGAGAGGCGGAGGTGGGTGGATCACTTGAGTTCAGGAGTTTGAGACCAGCCTGGGCAACAAGGTGAAAATCCATCTCTACTAAAAATACAAAAACTAGCCAGGCATGCTGGCTTGCGCCTGTAATCCCAGCTACGGGGAACGCGGAAGCAGGAGAATTGCTTGAACCCGGGAGGTGGAGATTGCGCCACTGCACTCCAGTCTGGGAGACAGAGTAAGACTCTGTCTAAAAAAAAAAAAAAAAGCAGTGCTGAGTCATGCATGGTTCTCGCCCCTCAGTGCTTCTCATTGCACTTGGCACAGCAGTCTCTCTTGGAATCACTTGGGAGCATGCCTGGCCTCCCCGATAGACTGTGCACTGTTTCAGGGCCAGTTTTGTTTCTGATTCTTTTTTGTGTCCTTCCCTCTTTCCTCCACCACACTCATACACAGTCCCTAGCCCAGTGTCTGGCACAGGCAGTCAGGAAATGTTCATGGAAGAGAAAAGAAAAAGGGAGAGGAGAAAAGCTCAGGCAATACCTTGGGTGGTGCTGAAAAAGAAGAGATCATGTGCTCCGAGAAGTGGCTGGTGACAACCATTCTCAGATTTCTGAGAACTTCTGATATGATTAAGTACTTAGGAGAAGTAGATGACCTCTTATTTCGGGAGAGGAAACTCTTCAGGAAAAACAAGAGGAAATGTGTGGAAAACATCAGTAAAGCCATGTCTGTACAGTAAGTATAGGGAGAACCAAAAGGGAGAGAATGATTTTTTCAGGCAACTGGAACACAGGTGTTAAAGCCTTCACACTGAGCCTTCTACCAAGAGAAGATGAAAGTCACACAGCAGCTAAAAAGCAAGCTCTGTGCTCACTTCTGAGAATCATAAAAGGGTACTTCTCATCTAAAGTTCAGTATCTTTCCTAGAAAGGCAGGAGAAAATAAGTTCAGAATTCTGTGAAATTTTTCATGTACATATGATTCTCATTAACTTTAAAGAACTGTCAAGGTATGTTGGGTACATCCATCCCGCCAAAAAAATCTGTTTCAGCCTGAATCAGATTTCTCCCTTAACAACCTCTGTGACACACAGAGGTGACATGAGAGTCCCATCATCACAAAGATATTGGGGGAGCCAGGGTGACAACTCAGGTCTTCTCTTTCAATCCTTGTCCCATTCACCACGACAATGTCTAAAAGCAATTTGCTGGCACACCCAGAAAATACTGCATTATTTTTAAATTATTTCCATTTTTTTCTTCTCCCCTATTTAAGTGATCACATTTAGAAGCACTTTATCAATATCATAATGAAAAAAACACACTCCCTTTGAAACAACCCCAATGCCATCGGAGCTGCAGGAGGAAAGTTCAAGGCGCCAGTGCTGGTCCAATTCAGAGGAAGCTAAAATGTCCCAGGTTGTTTGAAGAAAAGGATGTCAGTCCAAGTGGTGACAATTGGCCCCCAACAGCTGCATGCAATGTTGAATTCAGTCATATGTACAAGCAATTTTCAGTTTCTCTTTAGCCACCAACCCTTACTTTGAAACTCAAAATGCAAACATGAAACCCAGAGAACCACCCTGGTTCAATTTGCAGAATGGTGAGGGTTCTAGGAGAGGGACAAGATTCCCCTAACCCCGCCCCTGCTCCTGGGCAGCCTTAGAGGGAACTCCCTGGAAAACAGTGTGGAAACCACCAAACAGAAAGTATATCTACCCAAGTGACTTACTGAATCTTTGTGTCTTTCAATTCAGATGTTAGATCTTATGGAACGTATTTATATAGAGAGCTAGAAGCACACAATTTCCAACGCAATTATGATTTCATACATTAGATTTAAAACAAGGAAAATTGTCTGAAAAAAACAAAGACGAAGAGAGGACATCCAACATTAGTCTCCTCAAAATTCATCTCCTACATGTACACATAGAGTCTACATTTTTGCTTATAACACGTAACAATTAAAACTCTCCCTGACTGAGATTTCCTATTAGTGCTACTGTCTTGGGGAACAAAATGTTAGCTATAAAGGGACTTTCTACTAGTCAGGGATAAAGGACATACTCAGAGGAGTGCTGGACCAAAGTAGCAATTCCCATTTCTTAAGGATCAGAGCTAAAATTATTATAGAGGTGGCTAGAGTCTACCCTACCAACTGTGAAGGGAATGAAGCAGTCGCAAGGAGCTTCTGTGCCAGAGATTCA